AAAAACAAAATAGGCTATTTTAGCCACAAAAAACAAAACATCAAATCCAACCCATAATCATTACAATCCTCTCTCACAAAAAAAGTCAAAAAAGCCAAAAAGTCAAAAAGTCCTTCCCAAACCAAGCTTTTAAGCCCAGGCTAAAATAGTCAAAAAAGTCAAAAAGCCAAAAAGCCAACCCACTTCCCAAACGGAGGCATTAAATTATACAGTTGAGATTTCTTACTAATAAGAGAATCTTTTTATTAATTCTGACTGATAAAATTTAACTCTTATTGATAAAAATGTTTAGTCTACAAGCCATTCATATATATATATATGAAAAATGCTTGGGAGCACTAATTAGTGCTCCCACTAATTAGGTGGCAGTGGGTCCCGTCATTAATGATGTGATGTTTTGGTCTTGGAGTTGTATTTTTATTTTTATTTTTTTACTTTTTTAATGCATTAGTGCTATTAGTGGTGGTGTTTTTAGTGGGATGAATCATTGTTGAAATGTTAATTAGTGCTAGGGCTTGTTAAGGTGTATTTATAATTGCATTAATTAGTCCTAATTTTATTAACTTTCTATTTTAGCTTGTTTATTTAATTAGATTATATACAATGTTTTATAATTATTTCTATGCAAAAAATTAATTATTTATTAAGATTTAACAAATTTGAAAATATATTTAATGAGAATAAACTCATTCATTACTTTTTATCAAGTGCCTGGAGTACTTGTTGTTGGAGAAAAATGGTTGAATAAGAAATTGTCTCATAAATGTGTATATAACTCACACATTTAAGGCTTATCAGTTTTACAAAATTGATTGGGCAGTTTTGCTAGCATTAGTTGCCAGCCTTGATGGCTAGAGGCTCCTCCCCTCTCCCCCATGGTGTATAAAAAGAGGTCATATTCCTTGAAAAGATATATAGAATTTTTCCTTAATATCCATACACTGTCAGTCTACTTCTCCTATAATTTTCTTCCTGAGAGAGAGTGCTGCCGTTGTCCGTTCGCTAAGCCAATTAGAAGGTGCTTCTGTTGTAGTTGGTAAAAACCGTCGTATCTTGGGAAGTAGACGCCGACGTACCTCCAGCACCCAACGGTGAGGCAGCGAATCTATTTTAAGGAGACTGTGGTATCACACAGGCTTCGGTTTGCTTCCTTTAACCATTTTATATTTTATCTGTATTTTATTCAGCATGTTATTTTTCCTGAGATTGAAGGTTTGTTTTGTTCATCTCATAATTTTGCGATATGCAATGTGAAATTATGTAATGTGAGTAGTTTTTCCCAACAAGCTTAAAAT